GAAAAAGACATCACATCTTAAAAAGTAATCGACATGGGTGTACGTAAAATTAAGTATTATACATATAATATAAATGTATATGTGTAAAAATTTATATGAGAAAAACAGTCTCACAGTGAGGTTGGCTAGAAACATTCATTCTATCCAAATAGAAAAGCCCCTCTCTCTCTCTCTCTCTCTCTCTCTCTCTCTCTCTCTCTCTCTCTCTCTCTCTCTCTCTCTCTCTCTCTCTCTCTCTCTCTCTCTCTCTCTCTCCCTCTCTCTCTCTCTCTCTCCCTCTCTCTCTCTCTCTCTCTCTCTCTCTCTCTCTCTCTCTCTCTCTCTCTCTCTCTCCTCCCCCTCCCTCCCTCCCTCCATTTTTTGCCAACATGACATGAATAGAATTGACAAATGTCTTTCTTTATTCAAGGGAGATCATTTTATTCACACTGACCCTTTCAAAATCCAAATCAAAGTTTGCTCAGTATGGCGTGTGGCCTCTTTCAGCTTGAATTACTGATACAAAACGTCTGTTCGTTGACTGAATTAATGTCCATATGGTTGTCTGAAGAATCCCCTGCCATTCCCAGTGAAGTGCAGTCTTCAGTTCCTGACGAGTTTATACGGAGCGCAGCCTGTTTCTAATCCTCCAGTCAAGGCCATCTTACAGATGTTCTGTTTGGTTAAGGCTTGTTGGTCTTGCAGGACAGTCCAGAACAACCATTTGATGAGTTTGGAAGGAGTTTTCACTGATCGTAGCCATGTTGTGGTCGGACATTGTTTTGTTAGCAAATTCCATCATCCGTGACATGTAGGGCAGTCATTGTAACGAAGAATTTTGTCACAATACCGTCGTCTCTTGAGGTTGTTTTGAAAAGTAACTGAATGTGTACGACAAAGAGCAGAGATTACACCCTATACCATCACATTTAAGCCACCGATTCGGGCCTCTTGGGAGACGTTGGATTTGGGAAATCTCTATCCTTTTCTTTAAAACCCTCTTTCTCTTCCATCAATGCGACGAACTAAAAACCTTAACCATTGCTTATAAGAACACTTTGCCAACGTCTTTAGTTTCATTGCCAATGATGTTGTGCCAAAATCTGGCGATTTGTTCAACGAAACAGGGTTAGAATGGCTCCACACAAAAGGCGATAATCACGTAATCCACGATCTAATAAAAGTCTAATAACGGTGTTTTAAGATAGTCCGAAGTACCTGACAGTCTATGGAACGGGTTTGTACATGGGTGTTGAAAATACCCATTTCTGACTTCGAGTTGTCGCCCTTGGTTGACCACGTCTAGGCTTGTCTTGGACAGTTTTAGTGGTGTTAAAACTTTAGATGGTTCTTCTACACGTATTTACGTGTCTTGCAACAGCAGAAAGCGCAATTAAAGAATTTATCATACACACAGCCCTTTTATTTTCTGAATTTGTCAATTTTTTATTTTGAAAAACAGGTGAAAAAAGTATCCAACCGTTAAAAAGTACAGAATTCCATAGTGCGTTAAGTGTGTTTACAATATTGTCTACGTGATTCACAGCAAATGTTGATTTCAACATAGACCTAGAAAATACCAACACTTTGTCCATGCACTAAATCCGGTTTATGATTTCTTTCGTCTGCTCTTGCACAAGGAGTCTCATAAGTCACACAAGTCGTACTTTTAATTTTTACTGCAATTCTTGCACTGTACCGAAAATTATCGTAATATAATATGTATATAGATATATATATATATATATATATATATATATATATATATATATATATATATCACAGTACATCATTATGACAGGTATGCTTTTGTGAATAAAAAATGCCTCAGGCAATTTTTGAAAATGGAAATTGTTCGGGCAGATTTTATTGTGTATATGGGAGTTCGTTCCTTACCTGGGGACCAAAGAACAAAAAGGAACGCTCGCCGTATGTTTTGTAATTTTGTTTTGGAGTTTTAAGAATTAGATTATCAGAGGCTGATCTAAGGGTTTTAGGTGGATGATATAATTCCAGGAATGTTTTAAGATAAAAGGGTGCACTATCATTTATACATTTAAAACAGAGAACGGCAGTTTTGTATTTGATCCTTTTTTTTATTGGCAGCCAGTGTAGTTCTTTCAGAATTGGTGTTACCTGCGCTGATTTCTTTTGTTTCATTATCAATTTTGCGGTTGATTTTGGAGTACTTGTAACTTTGATAGTTTTTCGGCTGTCAAACCAGACAAAATAACATTACAGTAATCTAACTTTGGTAAAATCAGTGTTGTTACAAGTGTCTTGGCTGCTGCTTTAGTTAGATAATTTCTTACACTGCCAATTTTCTTAAGCTGAAAGTAAATACTTTTGCGTAGCTGGGTAATTTGGGAGGACATTGACATATCATAATCCAACTGAACCCCTAGATTTTTAAGACTTCTTTTTGAACGGATGGTATGGTTATTAATATCAATTTGTAGTTCTGGGAGATTTCTAATGGCTTTTGTATTTCCACTCAACATTATTTCCGTCTTGTCATCATTTAGTTTCAATTTATTGCTGGTCATCCATATTTTTAAATCTCTAGTACATTGTTCAGTAGAGTCGACTAAAAATTAATGATCTCCCCTTACTTTGAAATGAACTGACTTTACCCCTTATAACAATAACATACGGCGAACAAAGACTGGGTGGTAAACCTTGATGACCAATCACAATGATTTCTTATAAGGCATATCATGTTCCCTTCCGGTCGTGAGAGGTCGATTCCATTGAGCTTCCCCCTTAATCTGTCAAGTAGTCTACTGTGTTCCTGCATTTCTGACCGAGATCACCGCTCATTATCATGTAACTCATCATTGTGTTATGAATGCACTAATTAAAATACGAATAATGAAAGGCAAGCTCACTGCCAATATTACACAAGGATGATCTGACAGTCCCCTAGTAGGGGCGCCAATCTGTTTTGCAGATTTGGGTTCGGACCCGACAGAAAAAGTTAGGTCAGGGAAACAAAGGCAGCGACGAAATTGAGATCACAGTTCAATCTGACCCCGTCTGACGCGGTCTTGTTGGCCCTACCTACAGAATCATGCCTTGATGTAAGCCTGTCCCCGGGGTTTTATGCTCTCCGCATAATTTAGCAAAATTTGATCCTTTTTTTTTTGGTGTAATTTCTGTTTATTTTCCTTTATCATTCTTTGTTAAAATTAACAGAATCGCATAATTTCATATTTTTGGGCTCAGTTTGCATAATTTCAGATTTTTTATTCTCATAAAACCGCGGGGACAGGAGTTTCAGGCTGCGCGCAGTGCAGATTGACCATAGTTCTGCTGTGAGAGAGGGCTTCTATCAGGCATGAGCTGCCTCCATCACTAGGTCTATATTATAACTTCCTTGTGCAGTCGAACCTGTGTAAGACGACCGCACATTTTCGAGGGGGAAAGTGGCTGTATAAGACAGGACTGGTCAAAATGAAGAAAACAAACTATTTACTTAGGTCCCAACTGGAGGTGGTTGGATGCCCTTGGGCTGATTAAAATGTGTTGTTGTTGTTGTTTTGTTTCTTTTGAAAGAGGGGATAGGATAGAACGCTTTTTGTGGGACTTTTAAATTATGGTTCCGGGAAAGGTCAAAACAAAACAAAATGTTTCAGGAAGGTCAAGTGTCATAGTAAAACAAACAAATGGGTCGACACCACTTGGCGAACGAGCTACACTTCTGTCACGAGTTTGTTTTGACTTCTTTTGTTATGGACTGTGTTGTGGGCGAGCCTTAAATGTTATGACGGATCACGCGCTTCCCTTATGAGCAACTGAAAATGTACTGTTACCCATTGGTCAACTTGGGTAAACATTGGGAGTGACCTAAGCAATATGACCGTTCATCCATTGGAGGGACTGACAACAACGACAGGTGAATTAATTATGACGGCGTGTCCACAACGTCAGGGGAAAATGCATAATTTTTGACAAAGTCTGGCCGTCTTCGGCATGTAGATTTGGCCTTGGGTTGAAATAGCCCAATAGGGTGGTCGCGGCCGCGTTGGACATGTGCCCGTTTTACACAGTTAAATTATATAGAAAATACGCAAAGGGGAAAATGGAAAGTGGCCATTTGTACAGGTGCCCGTCTTATAAAGGTAGCCATCGTGGATAGATAGATAGATAGATAGATAGAAAGATAGATAGATAGATAGATAGATAGATAGATAGATAGATAGATAGATAGATAGATAGATAGATATGTCCTATTATATAGGCCTATTTTTTAATATAGTTTTTGTACATTTTAAATTAAATTTGTAAAATATATTTATTTGTTTATTTATATTTGTTTATTTTCATAAATGGAATTGACCATTATGTCTCATGACTATTGGTTACGGGGAAATATATTTTAAAGAACCATAAAAAAAAACAACTTAGCTTCTATTTAATTTTGATTACATTTTGCCATTGCTGGCGTGCAAATAAATGTTTGATATTATTATGTTTTGTTCCATCTTTTCACTTCCTTTTACATCATAATTAATTACTTTGCAGCCTGCTTAAAGAGTTAGTGTGTGTGTGTGTGTGTGTGTGTGTGTGTGTGTGTGTGTGTGTGTGTGTGTGTGTGTGTGTGAGGGGGAGGGGGGGGTCTGTGTGCCTATGATATCATGTATGGGTGGAGACTCCACTCTAAGCTCCAGAAAGACTAGATTCTCCACTTTGCTTAAAGCTTTAAAGTAAAGTAGACTTTATTTACTGATACTATCTGGTTTTCATATTTATCACCTTGGGCTAAGTCGCCTACTTTTTTTCTTTTTGTACTGTGGCCTGTCCAGCAATGTGTGAGAAGCCTGAAAAGTGTGTGTATGTATGTGTGTGTATGTGTGCGTGTGGGGGACCTGATCTGCCCTTTCAAAGTGTAAAAGAATTGTGTGCATAATTGTTTCTGTATCCTTGTTTAGGGGGGGGGGTTACTTTTCTCTTGAGGCTTTTTTCAAGCTTTTGCCTTTTGAAAAGATTGCTGTATTTTCTTCTTTTTTTTTTTGTTTCAGAGCAAATGAAGAAATATGAATATGTGCCATCTCTTCACGACATTCGTGTAAGTAAAGTTAGACAACAAAATGTAGTATTATTAATTTATGTTAATAGTTATATTAACATGCAGCATACATTGTGGATTCTGATTCTCTAGAGATTCTGGGTTTTTTTATGGATCTTGCCTGCTCAAGGATCTCAAGCTCTCTAAAAATGGTGGCCATGCATTGCTAAGGATTTTTCTGCATATTCATTGCCTTGATTTGAGGGTAGTAGCGTGGTGTGATATGGGTTTAACCGCTCCTTTCACTGCTCCAAGCGTTTTTGGGAGATGGAACCTCAAAATTTAAAGTCCATACATCCTCAATAAGACCCCCCGCAAGGGTAGGTGGCTAGTAGTCTTCTCAGATAAGGACAAAATCTCTGACCCCACTTAAAATTGCATTGTGGCGTCGGTGGCCTAGTGGTTAGGCTACCAGACTCATAATCGTGAGGTTGCAGGGTCGGGAGTTTGAGCAGCTGCGGGCCCGACGTTGTGTCCTTGGGAAAGGCACTTTACACAAATTTTCCCCACTTCGCCCAGCAAAAGATTTTGTCAGTATGTTAGTGTTTTAGCGCCTATAAATGGCTGCTTGCACTTTATTATTATTATTATTATTGGCTACTTAAAGTCGATGAAAAGGAAGCTTTTTTTTCAGGCAGGCTGCTGTAAAGTAATAGATCAATGATGTGCATTCTGCACATTCTTCAACACTTGAAGACATGCTGTTTATAGAGCACTTTAAAAAGCATGCCTTTGTTGCTCATTCAGATATTTCAGTTTTGTTTTCTCTGTCTAAAACTTTTTAGAAGCAGACAACAACATAATATGTATACTATGAAATTAATGAAAATTCATGTTTCTGATTTTTGTATGATTGTTCAAAATATGTTGAGATATTGTTGTGGTCTGCTGATGATGGGACATACGTGTCCACTACATGCTTAATAATTAAGAACCTCTGGTCAGTACAGATAGACAAATCACCAAGTGCAAGATCTGCAACATACACCAGCTATCATGGTTTTCCATTCCTTCCGTTGCTCAGATCTCTTAAAAAAGCAACATTATCCTGATCTATCCCTGTCACCTATCTGTTTAGGCTCTCCTAGTAGATTGCTCTGGGCCTTCCCCTTCCTCGTTTGGCTTCAATTGTGCCTGTGAAAACTAGATGTTCTAGGCTTTTATGTCGATTCAGGTGTACCAAAAACTGCTTTTTGTCTTTTCCTGATTGTTTTTATCAGCGAGCGGCCCTCGTTGGCTTCTTCAAGTACTACCACATTTGATTTATTTTCCTTCACTTCTAAGAAATTCTCCGCAGTCTTCTAAGAAACCACATTTCTGTTGCTTGAATTTTATTTCCACTGTTTTAGTGATTGTCTAGCATTCACAGCCATATACAAGGGTTGACCGTACAAAGCATTTCAGAACTTTCTTTTTGATAGTCGTTGGGATGTTTCTATTTTCCAGGATTGGGCTAATTTTATTAAAACTATCCTTAACCATAGCAATTCTTCATTTTATTTATGTGGAACGTTTGGCATCAGATATAATTGTATCTAGATATTTAAACTGTCGAACTTGTTTGATCTTTTTGCCTTTGCTTATATGAGATTACAAATAGGATTTACTACTTTATTAGATATCTCCGTGCCTTTTGTTTTCTTCACATTCAGCAATAACCATTGTCGTTCACTTTCAGTTACAACATTATCTAGGTGTTTGAAATCATGAAATTATTTTCTCTGCACCATTCTATGAGTTGATTATCTTTACCCTTTCCCCATGGTCCAACTACATCTTCTGAGCGTGCACCTCCTACTTTCCTATATCCTGAGATTTTATTTGTTTCATTGCCTTATCAATGTCTTCATAAAAGTTCTCTACTTCCTCATTTTCATGCTCTGATGTTAGAGCACATACTTGGATGGCACCTGTGTCAAAAGGTTATCCTTCCAATTCAGCCACAATGGCTCTATCTGAAGCTCCCCAAAAACCTTTGATGCTCTTTGCTGTTGCTTCTTAAAATTATATTCCTTCTCTTCCTTCCGTGCCAAAGATAGACAAAAAATACGTTATACTTTATAAAACATCACCTTCCTGCCTATATTAATGGAGATACAACATTTGTGTCATGACGTGGTGAAATCAGGCGCTCCGTCACTTTTGGGGAAAATGGGGTTATTGGTATTATCTTAAAGCCTGTTCATTCGCCTTCCTTTTGTTTTTAAAAAAAACTATCCATCTAGGTTGAATAGAAATCGAAATATTTGGGATTGAAGGAGGTCAGTGTCGCCTTGTTTCAGAGGTAAAATTAGCGAGAAAGTGGCCGCCTAAGTTTGGTAAATTCCACAGCCTGAGAGTCATTGGAATTTGAAAATTTATATATTGTGGGGCCATCTGCGGGTAAAATTTCCCTCATGTTTATCCAGTTTTACCATGCAATTTTTTTCTCCATTTTTGAAACCTACATCCATTTCCCCCAAAATTTCAAGCACCCGTTTCAATCAATAAATTATGTTTAGAAGTCTTATAAAAATGGGTTTAAAAAAATAATTTGCTATTTTGGGTCTTTTTGTTTTAAAAAATGTTATTCACTTTTTTCAAATATGTATTTTTCCGACTTCAAATTACGTCTTCTCCATTATTTTTTCATCTGAATGGCTTCATTGTTGTACACAATGTGCGTCCATAGGTGATCTTTCCGAAATAGAGCCCTTTTTTAAGTTAATAAGAAAATAAAGTTACAATCAGTGCTTTTGTTGGGAATTTCGAGGTTTTTTGCTATTTGTCCATAGTAACCTGCATATTTCCAGAGTCCATAATTTTTGTCATAATCGTAAGATTACAAACCTGGCGTTAGTTGTTCATTAGTTGTACATAGAGGTGTTGTAGATTGTACTTACTAAAAATGAAAGCCAACCGACGAAAAATAAAAGAGAAAATAGCTTTTTAAATTTGATGAAATTATCCAATATGGCGGACGTTTACTTGGTTACCATTATTACCATGTGCTTATAATAGTAAATAATTACTTGAATTTATTCTTTGATGTCTGACTAATATAAATATACCATCGTTGCTATATTTAGTCAAGTGATATGGATTTTTAGAAATTTCACCAACAGATGGCCCTCCTCAATGTTTTTCCTTAAATTCCACACAAAAATGTGTTTTGAAATGGGCATAAAAGGTGTCGAGCCAAAATAAGAAAATTGGAGAAAAAAAAATTGCCTATTGGCTAAAAAAATGCTGACTTCTTTGATTTCATTATTTTGACATGCGCCTGATTTCACCACGATGCCTCACATTTATTCTAATGGGAATGATGGTCAGCAACACCCAAGGACTTGAGAGTCCACAGAAGAGTTAAAGTCTTTAGCAAGATAAGATAACATATACTTAATTATCCCAGAGGGAAATTTTTCTTGGCTGTACTGGATCGTAAAAACACATACATAAAAAGTTTTAATTATATATTATTCTAATTAAAATTCAATATGAAAAGAGAAGTAAAGCTGACAAAATGTACATTCACATCTGATGCATCATTCAACCACATGCAGGAATTAAATTACAAGATCTTAGGAGTTATATATTTATAGATACATACTCTAAAGAGCAACACTCATCTATGCTCATTCTGACAAAAGCCTCATGCTAGATGGTGAAAAATTTCTTTTATATCTTTCTTTCGTTGTTTTTTGAGGTACATATCTGATGTGTAAGAGCCTCGCGCCACTGAGCAGCGCCGAAATATTCGTGTTTAGAACATAATGTGTTTTTTTTGTAGATCTAAAACTTCTGCAAATGTTTCAAATGCAAGGATAATGGGGTAAGTTATTTTCAGATATTTTCTGTTTTATCGCTTTCAGGCTCAAAGGTCGTTCCGCAACCGTTTACAGTTGATGGAAACAAGGGCAGCAAAAAAAGAGAAAAAGAAACAAGATGAAAACTTGCGATTGGAGCAGTTGTCCATGCGAGAAAGAAAGATAGAAATGAAAAGAAGGCAGCGCTTAGAGGTAAATATTTACTGACCTGAGATTTTGTGTGAGTCAAACTTGTTCAAGAAATCACCCGTTGTTGAGGAGAAAAGTGGTCATCTTTGACAAGTGGACTTGTGGGACAGTATCACTATTAAGTAGAAAAACACTAGAGAGGAAGTGGGAAGTGGTCATTTGTACAGGTGATTGTCTTGGACAGGCAGTCGTTGAAGGAGGTTCGACTGTATATTCATTATTTGCTCTAGATACAAGTGGTAAGCACGGCATCTCACTGAGAAGGAGGAACTCTGGTGTTCAAACTTTCCTGACAAGTTGCTTGAAACAGATCTATGGCCTGAGATAGTCTGACTTTGACTCCATGGAGAAACTGATTGAGTGGGTAGATGACAGAAAGATGGAGAAGGAAATGACATATAGAGAAAGAGATTAACTGGACATATATTGAGATATTACTATTAGATGACTAATATAGACCTTACCAAAAGGGTGCTGAGATAAAAAAAAACAACAACCCTCATTTGATCAGAAAAGCAAAGGGAGGGCTTCCCACCAGAAAAAAATTGTTACAAAAATAATAATTAATAATTTTAATAATAATTGCATTTATATAGCGCATATGCGCATGCTCTATGCGCTTTACAGCCTTTATTACCCCCAGCAGACTCTCTGAGAACACTCAGAAACATTCTTGGCTTCTGCGGAAGCATACAGTGCAAGCTGCGGATTTCACGCGCTCAAAAACTACCAAACTGACAAGATCGTTCACTGTCTATAGCCGGGTACCCATTTCCACTTGGGTGAAGTGAGGAAAATTTGTGCAAAGTGCCTTTCCCAAGGACACAACGTCGGGCCCCTGACGGGATTCGAACCCACGACCTTATGGTTGCGAGTCCGAGAGCCTAACCACTAGGCCACCGACGCCAAAAACCCAAAACATGCTGCCTGACCCTTTAAAAATACAGTCAAACCTTGTTATACCGCCTACCTTGGGATGAGCTTGGAGTTGGCGGCACAGCCTGGCTGATGGTTTTACAGAATAACACCAATTGTGGTTTAACTATACACGCTTGTGATTTATCTATGTACACCCTCCTCTTGTAGCGATCCAACTTGCACTGATTGGTCACAACTCTCTGCTCTGCGCCTCGACTGCGACTCACGCGGTCTTCCACAGTCTGTGTCTCACGCCTCGGCCTGCCCTTGTTCTCATCTTCAATTTTAAATAGGTACCGTACTCGATTACTTTCACGAAATCAACCAGCTAACCACACGCCCTTGTGATCTCAAGATCAAACAAAACAAAATAAACGACAACTTCCAACGTGCGAACAGGACATGGTTCAACGCCATCTACACTTTGTGCATTTTATTACTCCATTTCCTGAGTTTCATAGTCCACCAACCGACCGGGGGTTTTCCTGACTCGATCAGGATATCGCCTGAGAGGGGGTTCACCTACACCTTCGTTTCTCGTCAGGGCCTGCAAGGTCTGAGACTCACTTCCACCTCCCTCATCATCCTCTTCCTCTGAAGTTACATCTCATACCACTCTACTAACATCGAGAACGTGACGAGCCATACCATCGACAGCAACATTGTTTATCGAGTTTACTCCCTTAACCGTACCTCTATTCCACTTGGTCGTGCTTTTGTTCTAGGGTGGTTTAACCCAAACATCATCTCCAACTTCAAATCTTCCTTGAATTTCTTCTTCATTAACGATATGGTTTCTCCAATCATAACGGTAGACAACTCTCTGTGGCACTGATGCTGGGTCCAAACCTGCTCTTGGTGTTGAGTTGTACCAAAACACAGCTTCTTGTGGGGAAATGTTTCTGCAATGGACTTCACTGTACGGTGGTGTCTCTCAACAATCCCGTTCTTCGTAGGCCTATATGCAGCTCTGAACAGTGGTTTGATATTCCATTTCTGAAGCATCTGCCAAAAACAATCTGAGTGAAACACTGTGCCATTATCCATTAAGATCTCGCGCACTGGTCCTCTCTCCAACATGAGTTCTTCAACTACTTCTGTCACGAGCCCTGCTGTCTCTCTCTCTTCAGTTTCTTCCATATTGCAAATCGCCCTGGGCCACAATCAACAATTGACAGGTATGGCACTTGATGATGGTGAGTTATGTCTATTGCCAATCTTGTCCAGTCTGTAGCGACATCTAGGTTGCCCGCCTCATGGACAACTGGTGCAGGATCGATAGATGGATTTTGCTCACAAAAGCTTGTACGACTTTTTTCACATCAGCACGGCTCATTTCTTGTAGCACTTTCCGAGCCAAATACAAAGTACGGTCTACCCCATATGGTGCACATCTTGCAAGTCTTTCAAGTCAAGATGACCAGTAGCACACACGCATGGTTCTGGTTCTCCCTCCTCCATTCCATACCCGCCAGTTCTTAACCACTCTTTTTTCACTCTTGTCAGAATGTCTGCTTTGTTCTTTCTGACCCCCAGTGGGTCGGAGGGATATAAATAGACCCACTGCTTCGTCTGCAGAAGGTGCAACCCCTTCAAAGGCGAGGTGTCTCATACGGACCCCAATCCTCTGAGTACCCCCTGTTTGTCGGGGGGATATAAATAGACCCACTGCTCCGCCAGCAGGAGGTGCAACCCATTCAAAGGCGGAGTGTCGCAAACGGACCCCAACCCTCTGGGATCCGTGTGCGACACTTACTTTGGTGTATCTTCCTCTTCTCCTTCCTTCTTTCTTTCTTCTTCTATCTTTCCTACCACCGTTGACCTCATGTGCAGCAAAACGAGTGGTCACCCATCCCACAGAGTGAGCGCCTCGTTGACCGTGAGGTGCGACCCGTGCGGAGGGAAACCGGGTACCTGGCGGTTGAGGTAAGATCAGTCCACGGACTGTCCCTTGCCAACACACCTCTTTGGCCCAGGTTTTCCTCTTACACGGGAGGGTGACACAACCCATGCCACTCAATCGGTTGAGAGCTGAAACCCCATCAAGCCCTGGTTCAATCTTGACGGGAGGGTTTTGTACTTTCTCGTTG